TTTTTCCCTCTGCAAAGATGCAAAAGGATATTTTCATGATTTTCCCATAGCTGCTTTGTCCTCTGAGGTGACCCTGAAAAGCTATGAGTCTTCCCAGCTACATTTTACCCATGAGACCCATAGATTTTTTTTATATTAATAATTCTAATTCAAAGCTATTTTGAGGCAAAAATGAGAATAAACCCTGAGAGAATTTTCTAGCTCTTGTAAGGGATAGTGTCTATTACTGAATATGGCTCCAGTCACAAAATACTTCTGTAAAGGCAGCCTCTGTGTTATCTGGCAAATGAATGTCAAACACAAATGTATGTGAGACTCTTCTAGATTAAAAAGAAAAAAGGTTTTCCTGTGCCTCATTTTAACACGGTCTTTGCTGTATTTACAGTGGGACAGTATTCAGGACCTTCTGGGGCACCCTGTAGAGAAGCCAGTGGTACTTCACAGGTAAAGATCTCTCTGTTTTGCTTGGCAGGGATTGAGCTGGTAACAGAGGATGAGTTTGGGCAGAGGAAGGGTGTTTATTACACCAGCTACTTTTGGGCTGCTTTGCTGTTAAAGTTCCAGACTTTTTGCCCGCTGATGAGACTAGATAGCTGCTCTCAGAGGAAATACTAACACGCAGAATGAAAACACTTCCAAAACTCCTTGAGCTGTAAAATCTAGAGAAGAGTTAAGCAGCATATAAAGAAATCTTTCTTTAGGCATAATAAATCTTGTAGATTTTTTTTGTATTAGTCACATGCATTTCAGCAAGGTGACATCGTACAGCACCGTGTGTAGCACGTGTGGTAGCAGTCTGACTGAAGAAGCTTTGCTTGTGTGAACATGTATGATTGTTCTTCTGTTCTGTCAGGGTGACCAAAGATAGAGGAGTCCTTACATTTGCTGTGTCTTTACAGGGGCTGAGCTGGGTGTTGGGTTAAACAGGCATTATCTGTTTGCAGAGTTACCATTCTGTGCTGTGATACAAAACTGTCATTTACCTCGGGACAAACGTTCAAGTCATGGGCACTGTTTAAAATACTGCAGCAATTCCAGCTGTAATTTAGGCTGAAAGGCTGTAATCTAAAAATCCATTGCAGTCTGCAGGAGTCTGCCATTATCATACATGTGATCCAAAACCACCAGAAATAACTGAAGGACAAGTGATAGAATAATCCAAATCTTATGAAACGGTATTTTTTAAGATTAATGTATTTCAGCAGGGTAATTTTTTTAACATGATAAAACCAGTGGATTAATAGGCACCATATGGTAAATACATACGACAGAGGCCAAGACATAAAGTGGATTTAAGAGTGGGAAAGGATCTTGCACAAAAACAAATTGAAATCGATTACATAGTGCTGCTCTCTTCCTATGCATGTGTCTGTTCTCAGGGTTCTTTCTGTTTGAGTTAAGTGGAAGAGAGTTTTCCTGTAGAGGTCGTTAGTAACTCCTTGATTACTTTCTCCTCGACTATTAATAATGGCTCTGTAACGTTAAGCAGAGGTTTCCTCTGGCTGACTTGGAGTCTAGCAATGGTGTTATAATAACGCAGATTTACTTTCTTCTGATGAAAGCTGTGGTAAAGATGCCATAATTTACCTTATAAGTTCCTGATCCTCACGCATCCTTAGGTTTTTTTTCTTCCTCTTTTGTTCAGGTCTTCATCTCCAAACAACACTAACCCATTTGGGTCAACCTTTTGCTTTGGACTGCAACGAATGATCTTTGAGGTTAGCAGAAAAACTTTCATGTTTGTTTGAGCCAGAGAAGATGAGGAGTTTGCTGTTACTATGACCGGCTTCTTATTTCCCTTTTTAAATAAAAGCCAGTGCTTGGGAGTGGCTATAATTTGTAGAGCTTATTGGCAGAAATAGGCAACTTTCCAGTCTCTTCTCGGAGGTTGGCCGTTTGCGTGTTAAAGCTGGAACTTCAAGTTTGTCACCCAGAACTTGTCCTAGCAGGAGATGCATGCGCTTGGCTCCGGGTGGCGGTGGAGCGCGCTGGTGTTCAGATGCGTCATGGAAATCTGGAGACCGTTTTTAGGAACTAGCCAAGAGCTTGTTGCTTGCTTTTGTTGTTGGGATTTCTTCTTTTTTTCGGGCAGATCAGTTCCATATTTTCCTTTTTCGCTCTTCTGAGTTCCTGTTTGGTGTACAACTCTTTTTTAATCTCCCTTTTCCCCTGCCATCCTTTTGCAGGTGATGCAGAATAATCACATAGCTTCTGTTACCCTGTACGGCCCGACGCGGCCCAGCAGCCAGTTGAGAACATCGGACCTTCCCCAGTGAGCATCCCCTGCAAAGTCAGCTAATCTCAATGCTACAAAATTAGTACAGCGTGCCTTGATTTGCTGCCACTTATAATATGGAAAGCACGTTATGATTTTTATTTTTTCGTTTTCAATAAGCCTTTCCACCCAGGAGCGGTGTGGAGGGGCAATTCTCTCAACCCTTCATCATGGGGCATGGGACTGTTGATGGAGGAAAGCAGCTTAGGTGCCTGTGCCGTCGTTTATTCCTCTCCGTTGCCCTCATCCTATGCAGCACAGACCTGAAGAGACTGTCCCCCCTTCCCAGCTGGCAGGAGGGGGAAATGGAAGAGGGGCACGTAATGACTGCAAGAGTTAGAAGCACAAACTTTCTGAGCCTTGGAGCATCTGGAAGCAGGTATTGATTTTAGTCTGTTTGTGTTACTGTATTGATGTGGTGGTCACATTTTAAGAAAAACGTGTGTGTGTATATATATAGATATAAACACATCGGTATTTCTGTGGCTTAGGACATTGTACCAAGTGTGACAAGGATGTATATATGTCCATGATTTCAGGCACCACATCTTTGTGTAACTTTAAACCAAGCAAGTAGCATGTGCATAATACTTGGTTGTAACATTTGCACTACATACACTTTAATTACTTGAGAAACGTTTTATCTTCACTGAGGAGCATCTGTGTACTGGGTGTGAGTGGGGTGTGATGGTTATTTAATGTACGCCGCGCATAAAGCTTATTTATACAGTGGATCAAATTTATCCACCTTCCTGCACTAATATGTACTTGATATGCTGAAACAATTGTTTTCTGCCATGGCTGGTTTACTAATTTGTTTTCATATGCAATTTCAAAAAAAAAAAAAAAAGGAAAAAAATTCTGGAAGAGGTTGTTTCTATGGTTGAATTGCGTTTTAGTGAAAAGGTTTGATACGATTTTTTTCATACTGCGGGGAAAAAATTTTACGAAGAAATAGCATTGCCTCATTTTGCCTCTGCTCCAAAATCCTTTGATTCCTCCTCCGTTTCCTTCGAGAAAGAAAAGCTGTACATAACAATGGTATCTCAGAACGAACTTCCCGAGCTCTGCCATCACCGAGAAAACCTTTTTCTGTAACTTCTGATGTGTGATTTTAAGTTATGCCAAAGGTTTAGCCAAAGACATCCTTCTTGGAGGTTCACCGTTTCTGTACATACACGCTACCTGCACACCCCACCCCAGCAGACAGGTTATAGGCTTCTTTCTGGTTGGGAGATGCTGCTCGCGACATTTTTATCCCGGGAGGATACTTTAGGTTTCTAGTTCTCTTACCAGTCTTATTTGGGGGAAATAGGTGGTCTGTCTTTGAAATATCGAACCCTTTTTAAAAACGGACAAGAGAAATGTATAATTTTATCCCATTTTTAATATTTTGGTGTAGCAACTTGTGATACATAGATGACAATTTTGTGAGTTTTACTATGTGTGTACAGATTTTGTAAATACGACATTTTTGTAATTTTAACTCCATGTACAGTGTAATCCTGTATAGTTTATCAATGAGTGAGAGATAGGAAATCGAATGTTAACCGAAGTTTGGGATCCTGGACCAGTAGCAGGGATAAATGTGGTGTGCGTGTGTGAGACGTTCTTTGCCATTCAGTCTTCCTGTGTACTGTGATACTCTCAGCTGTTTTGCTAAAACAAACAAAAAAGCCCCACGGAGAATCTAATGGATAAGGAAAAAGTTACTGTTTACCTTTATCCCTAGGTGTCACTCCTGTTGAACCCCTGTTCAATCTGTGCTGTCTCCTGTGATCATTGCTTGCTAAGAGAATCCTATGCCTCAACCTTCCTTTTGTTTCCTCTCTAGTTTGAATTTCATTTTACATAGCCCTTCTGTAAATTAAGTGGAGTAATAATGAGCATGTACACTGAAAGAAAAATAAAATGAGACTCTCAGTTACTGTTTTTGTGTTAAATACAGTTGCTGGGTGTTTTTGTAATAAAATCACGGATGCTTTTGCTTTTTTTTTTCCTTATCAAGTAGTCCTTTGATTTTACTGTCTTTTTTGGTTGTTATATTTGAAGTGCCTGACCAGTGTTCCTCCTTTACAGGCAATACAGTATATTCTCAGAAGCAGCAGTGTAAAAACTAACATGCAGTCTGTTTCCTAGCAGCTACGTGAGAGCATATTATAAATGGTTGCCCCAAAGTGGAGAAGGAAAGTCTTTAAAGTACGGTAAATAACACCATGGCTGCTGCATTGTGTTCAAAAACGGGGTTGTCACGCTCATGTCAGCCTTTGGTTATCATTAAAATGGATCAAGCTTCAAAGAGTTTGAATATGGTGCAACAGCGTGGAAGAAATGGGAATTCTTGTACTGCTTTCCCGTGCCCTGAGGTACTTGAACAGAAAAGCATTGAAAGTCCGCCTGCCCCGGAGCTGATGCTGGGCATAAGGAACGGGACTGCTGGTTCCGTTCACGCTTCTCCTGCGCTGTCTGCGTAACGTGGGGCAGAGCACTCTGCTCTCCCTCCTCTTGCATCCTTCGGTTTTGAAACATAAAAAGACCTTGCGTAGTGCTCGTGGAGAATTTTATGGTCTCTTGAGTTGTGATGGTGTGCATGCTAATAATTTCAATTAATTTTAATTAATCCTTTTCTAATAGAGGCTCCTGATTTAGCTGCAGGAGGAGACGAATTCTTAATGGGATGATTTGAGTAATGACTACGCAGATGAATGTGGAAGGTGAATATTGAATATGAATTCCAGTCTCCTGCTCTCAAGCATATGCAGTCGAAATTCTCCCAAAGTGCGAGGTCAGGACTGCTGCCATAGCAGCACCTCGAGACAGGGCAGGACATCAGCAGCTACCAGAGGTATTTAACAACTTCACTGACTCCCACCTTCACTTGTAATATTCTGGTGAGTCAAAGTGACTAAAACAGTGCAGATAATGAAATGTGCTCTCTTAACAGCCCGGGTACTTCTCTAGGTCAGTCCCCTCATCTCGAGAGGTTCTGTAACAGATGAAAGTTAAAGGCAACTTCACACCTTGGCTGCTGTTGATGGGCTGAGCACAAAGAGTTTGGGTTGGGGAGAGGCAGAGCTGAAGAAGGGCAGGGGGTGATCATGTGGAGCAGCTCCTTTTGGGCTTCCTCGCCCTTCCTTTGTGCTTGCAGCTTTTCATAGCTCACTTCTCTGAGATGCTTTCATTCGTTTGCTGCTATCTGGGCTAAGCCAAGGCAAAGCTGTTCCTGTGCTGATGCGTTAGGGGAGCTGGTGAGGAGCCTGAAGGACTTGCTGGTATGAAAAGGTTAGGACTGTTAGAACCAAAAGCTGTTCCTTGCACAGGGGTGCTCAGGGTGCAGCCGTGTCCCAGCTCAAGCTCTGCTGGGCCATCAGAGCAGCGTGCGCCCCCTTCCCAAAGGAACCGGGAGATTTGGGCTGTGTCAGGCCCCATCTCAGCAGGTGCCCTGGTTGGAGTCGAGTATGGTTTGATCCAGAGCCTGCGTGTTGTCAGTGTGGCCACTCGTCCATCATCTTGCTCTCATATGATAAAACTGTTTGATACCATATTAAACATAGCCGCATTTTTAATAAAACACACTGTGCATATGATCCCATTTTGATGTGTGCCTTTTTCCTTTGCATAGAAATGAAGAGTTTGTGTATGTGCCTGCTTCCCTTGAGTACTGCAGTATTTTCCACCGTATTTAGTTCATTTGCACTTAACGTAACTGATGGTCGTGCCCTTCCTTTTGGAGGTGAAGCTGACATTTCTTCCCGTACTCATTACGGGCTCCTGTGAGTGTTACAGGCAGTGCTGTATAGATCAGTGCTGCTGTGTAATACTAGAACCCTCTCTTCCCTAAAATGCGGTTCCTGTCAAGAAAACACCATTTTCTGTTGCCAGGAACCGTCACGCTTTAATTCTAAACAGATTTTTTTTTTCTGAGCTAGTAATTGGGTGGTGTGTGAGAACTGATTCATGCACTCATGATTGTTCATATTCCAGAGTTCCCATCAAACCTGTTTAGAACAGCATCTTCCCTGCGGCTCGGCGTTGCAGCAGGACGGTGACTCAGCGTTGCCAAGGCCTGGCTGGAGGTCGGGCTCCAGCTGCTTTTTCCCCAAAGGGAAACCATGGCTGTTGGTGCCCACTTCACATTGATGAGGACCGAGGTGCCCATAATGCAAAACTTCACGTGTGCTGGTTGTGTTTTACACTCCTGTAAGTATAGGAGGATTTTTGGTGTCGTGATGCAAAACCCCATTATTCCGTGCTAGCTCTGCGGATGCAATTGGTTCACGTCAGCTTTTGTCCCATAAACACATTTCTTTGTTGCTTTACCCTCTTTATTTTGATTACACCCACACAAAGGCACTGCCCTCTGTAGCTGATCCTGTCAGACACAACCTGACACAGCACGAAGCCAAGTAAGTACATCACTCTGTGTTTAGGGACTTAATAAAATACAAACTAGTTCTGGTTGGGGTTTTTTTCATGTAAGATACAACCCAGGATATTTCGGGGAGAAGGTAAGGTTGAAGCACAATAAGGGGAAATGAAACATGAAGCGCACTGAAGATGCAACTCTTGAGCATTAAAATAGGATTAATGAAGGGTTAATTAATAGGTTAATGAAGGGTTAATAGGTTAATGAAGTAGAGGGGCTTTGCTTGAGGCCAGGGTTTAACCAGTTCATGAGTCCCTATGAGGGAATTTGTTTTTGCAGGGAATGTTGTACCTGGAGGGTTCAGGCTGAACTTAAATACCATTTTCTCTCCCTTTATGAATTTTTGCTGTAATTAAGAAAGTCCCTGTTTAAATGTTTTCTCTGCCAAACCTTACATCCAAGGCTTTTGAGTGGTTTGTGGGGATGTGTATTTTTCCAGCAGGCAAAACCATTCCTTTTCATCACATCTGGGACCTCTGCTTGAAGCAGCGGGAAAGGTAAAATGCACTTGTGAGTGAGTGGTTTACTGTGGTGTGAGGTACTGGTACAGCAGTTACTTTTGTTCTGAACTAGACTGCAATGCTTAACAGAACCTTTTTCATACCCTAATTCCCCTTTAAACATTGGTAGTTTGGGCATATTGCAGTTTTGGGAAGCTGGTTTTAAGTGCCTTAACGTTTCACACCTACGCTACGCACTCCACTTAGCACCTAAGTTCCATTCCAGTATTAATATCCTTCAGAGAGATGGTTATTTTAAATACCAATCTCAAAAAAAAAGCCCTGCATGGTCAGCGTGCTGGGTTTGGATGAACTGCAGAGAGTTGGGCTGGTCAGGACGAGGGGAAGCTGTTTGCTGCTCTTGGAGGGGCTCGGATGCACTCGTCCTCTACGGTTTAGTTTCCTACCTTGTTTCTCAGTATGGTTTTCTTACTGACCATAAGCTTAGAAAACGATGGGAAGTTGGATTTAAACACTTTACAGGTTTTGACAGATGTTAGTATCATCATCAGGGAAATGTGGGCTCGTTTTCAGGGCTGCCCAGACCTGTGACTGCAGCTGAAAGGTACAACTTGGGGGCTCAGTGATTCATCAAATTGGGCTTTGGGGTAGACTTTTTGGGTTTTGCCTCCCATGTGGTGGTCTCCCGGCCCTCTCTGGGAGTGTTCTCAGTGCCAATATTTAGTGAGGATTCTCTGAACCATTTGATTGTTTTCTAACTGTTTGGTTTTGCAGTTGGGGTTTGCTTCCGAGAACCTGCTGTGGAAAGATGAATGATTAAACTGCAGCCAGGAAGCACAACATCGTAACACCCCATTGCTCCAGAGCTGTCTCTGGCTTTCTGTTTTATGGTGTCTGGGTCAGCAGCGGCCTGACCAAATGATGGGTCTTGGCATCTGCTACCAGTTTGTGTTGAGAGATGCACTCGGAGGTGCTGAATGTGCAGTTCAAGCCAGCTCTGCTCGTTTCAGTGACCAAATCTGGCTACTTCTGTACAGCAGGAACAAAATTTGACTGTGTGTGGATCCCTGGGACTCAATAAAACCTACTGTACTGTGTTGGCTTCAGATGGTTGTGTCTGTCTTGAGGCAGTCTGCTTGCTTTCCTTGCTACTGGTGAACCCCACTCTAGGATGTTACGATGTTTTCTTTCCTCCTCACGGTTTAGTCATGAAGAAAATTGCCAGCAAGGCTTTAGCAAAACCCTGACTGGTGCGTTGAAATAGCCAGTTAATGAAAGCTGCTCAGAATTTCATTCTGAAATGGATGCTTTGGGTTTTCTGAGATGCAAGGTTGGTACAGAGTCCTTCCTGCTCATACACAGGGTTTTAAGAGACCCCCATCTTCTAGGAAACCATTTCCAGCTTGGGTTAAGTCAAAAGGCTTTCTGCCTGCTGTAGCAGTATGTGAGAATAGTAGTAGTAATAATAATGATAATAATAATTAATAATAATGATGATGATGCAGGGGGTGCAGCATTACCCTCCAGTATTTCCCCAGCGCTCACACATGAGGTCTGTGAAATTCCAGCTCAACTGCAGAAGCAAAGGGAAACTTTTAAAACCAGGTCAAGCTGGCCATGCAGCAGAGGCTGATGGAGAAAAGCAGCTGTGTACTTCATTAACAGAGATGAACTTTAGTATTCCTTGGGTAAAATAAATGAGTTATTCTATAGATTGAGATCATGGAGTAACCAGTTTGCTGTGGTTCTGTTCTGTCAGCTGTCAGGGTATGTGCTGGCACGGGTGGATGGTGTCTGGGACAAAATGTGCTCATTAATGCTGTATTGTGGGTAGATTGCAGGTCTGGAGAGCTTGTAGAGGGAGGAGCCAATCTCTGCATCTCCAAGCTTAAAAGAAAGATCTTAATAAGGACTCCTAAACCTGACTAGCTGCCTTGGAAATCTTAAGGTAAGCTGTGTCTATTTTTCTGTCATTGCCATTAAATTAACTCCAACGTAAGGAAAGATTGACCAAGTTATCCGAAAGATTTAAGAATGTATTTTTCATATTGCTGTCTTCATGAAAAATACACGTGT